GGGGGGGGGGGGGGGGGGGGGGGGGGGGGGGGGGGGGATTAAGTTAGTTGAATAAAGCTTTCTCTCATAAAACCAGAGACTCCCCATTTCTAACAGAACTATCATTTCTCTCAACTGAGCTCCTGTTCCAATAATTTCAGACCTCCAAAAACAATTTTGATCTTTACGAGACATGGAGGTTACATGGCTTTGTGCATAGGCTCATACCAATGGAATGAATTGAACTGCATCCTTTTTGGAAAGAAATGATCGAAACTAGTTCATTATAAGTGACGCGTGCCAGTGCTAATGTTTATTTGCCTTTAAATTATTATCTTTTCGCTGACCAGTGCTAATGTTTATTTGCCTTTAAATTATTATCTGTTCGAACAGAAAAACTTTCCTGAAAGGAATGATTACTATATATTGTGGCAGTTGCTCAAAGGCTTTTGCATTAGATAGTATTAGGTTCTGGGTGCGATCAATAATATAAATTTGGAATATGTATATGTTTCTGTCCTTGTATTATGGAGCCGAGTGTACTTGGGCGTTTAATTTGGCATTCTCCATAATTATAGCATTGCTTATAGTAAATGGAGTAATAACTAAGCTACTAAACTTCCAGTTTTGTAGGTGTCGAGGCTAGTTTACAGTGACTGGTAAACCCGGATGTGAACAGGCTATGTTGATGATGATATTAACAGGCTGGAAAACTGCGAAGGCCAAGTGACACCAAGGATGCCGACTCCTGGAAGTCTAATATATTGAATTGCAATGGAGGAACATTATTTATCCAATGTAGATGAATTTTCTCAAAAATGTCACAGCGAATTGTATGTCTGAATTGATAATATGTATCCATCTTTAATCTAAGCTAAACTAAACGTAATTTGGCATCATGGTTAGTAATATTGCAAGATCTTCAGACTTCGAACAGTGTTATGGAAATACTGGCTGAATAGCGTTTGGATTTTGTTTAAGATTTGATCCGAGGTTGCCCACATCACGATTTTACCTTCCATATTACCTTTAGTCGATACACGCCCGTCACGACACTGTTTTAATTAAAAGGTGGCATTAATATTCTTTAGGGATGGTCATTCTTGTTTGTATTTATATAGGTGGCTTGCTCGAAAGTTAACATGACGGTCTTTTTGAGTTTTTGGTGCAATACGAGCCTAGTGTTTGTATATGAGAGATTATTTAAAGTGAAAAATAATTTTATTTTTTCTAGAGAATTGTGGTTACAAAAATTAAAAAGATAATAAAAAAATTATGAGTTCCAGTGTCAAATTAATTTATTATAAAAATATGTGATAGAAAATAAATAAGAGTCTAGAGAGTTTTTGGAAGTCATTGATGGGGTCAACTCTTAGCCCCTGTTTGGCCCACATTCTCATTTTCATTCTCTCTTTCTTATTTTCAAACACACAATTTTCCGTAAAATAATATTACATGCAAATTAAAAAAATTTCATTCTTTTTCAACCACATATTTTTCAAAAAAAACATTATTCCAGCGATTAAAATTTGACAAGAATGGGGGTCAAACGGGGCTTAGTCTCAAAACATGTTCAAATTCAAATTGTTTATAAGAAAATATTTTTGCGTCCTTGCCCTAAAGGAATGGTTTATATGATTGACATTGATTGTAGCAAAATGAAGATGTTTCGCGCGAGTAGTCGCTAACAATTAAAAAATGGATCAGACGATTGTGTAAGGAACAGACCTTTTGAGACAAAGTCCCAAAAAATGGTGCTTTATTGGCGATGATTTACAATTGGAAATAAACATAATGCCTCCAAGAGACGCAAGTACACGAGTACTAAAAGAAATGTTTAAATTTAAGTGAAGAAATTTAAATTACATATTCTCTGTTTGAGAGTATTTGATTCTTTTTTCTTCTCTATGTCTTCTCTTCCTTTTTATATTCCCTTGATGATTTTCTCGTGACAAACTGTTTGATCGCTTTATAACTACCCACTTGTTTAATGGTGACTAACTTGTCGTGGAACTGTCGTTCTAACTGCTGTCATTACTCTTTGTTGTTCAACCGCCTTCAACTGGGCTCCTTAAATCGTAGAATGTGATAAAATTACTTAATAACTACTTCAATAATTGTTATTCTGGATAACCATAATATTTTATGTTTGCTAAGGTCTTGGGCGATTCAAAGGTTTGGGCGAGAATGGGGTCATCGCTCTGGGCGACCATAAGGCACTCCATTCGCTCAGATTCTGGGCGTCTTGTAAGCTTGAGCAATGATGTTACTGTGTTCGTGGACTTCCACGGCATTCATCAATAATCTTGTTTGGACCTTTATCCTGGACTCTCCAATCGGGCTTCACTCTTTGGGCTATTTGATTTGAGCTGCACTTTTAGTGTGTCAACAATTATCCCCAAATATGGCAGAATTAATACCAATTATTAATCTTTGCCATATTCACTTTGTATTTTCCAGCAACATTTGAAATTCCTAAGAATTTCAATAATTACTTCCTTCTATAGCCTGAAAATGTGCAACGTTACAAACCCTTATAAACCTAAAAGACACGTCATTTCATCGCACCACTAAACCACGTCTCTATATTTCGTGCTTCCTTCTCACTATTTTACTGTTCATCTTCTTACTTCTCTGCTACGTTTCTCAGGCAAATCTTAACAAAACTGTACTTTACACCCAATGGCGACTTCACAAACTCGATCTGATGATTCTTTTAGTTTCGAAGATTTCCAGAAAATCCTTACTAGGCCGTATGGAAATCCAAACTTCCTTGTACCAACCAATGCTGACCTCAATGAATTCTATCTGGGTCCATCATTCAATAATGTCGAAGCCGTTGGACAAGTGGCAGTGGACCAGCTGTTCCCTTGCAATCAAGACCCTCCGTTCCTGAACTCTCTATCATTGAGACCGATTCGCGAAGAAGGTATTCGCACTTGGCCCAAAGCTGATGTTATTTTTCGTAGATGGCATGCACATCTTGTAAATCATGGCCCTACCAAGACTATTTTTGATCGTGCTAGGATTTTAGACTTATTAGAAATCGCTTTTCAACCCCCAATTTTTGACCCAGTGCTTTTTCCAATTGCTTTGAGTTTTTGATCTTCTAAATATAATACCTTCGTTTTCCCTCTTGGTCCCATGTCTATTGCTTTAAGGGACGTTGGAGCCCTAATAAATCTTTCGCCTTTGGGCGATACCATCTTTCCTGGTATCTTGATTTCTAGTGTTGGCCCAAAATTTGACAAGAAACTTACTGAGTCCTATTCAAGCATGCAAGGTTTTTATAATCATTCAAGCGCTGAACCTTCTCACACTGAACGTGTGCCCTTTCTTCAAATTTGGCTCTGTAAATATATTCTCTGCATGCCAAGTATGAAACCTTCTATGAGCTATTTACCCATAGCGCATGAATTGGCGCATGGTAGGCCTTTGAACTTATGTTCCTTCTTTTTAGCTGCTCTTTATAGAGGCATGACTTCCCTTCAATCTCAACTGAAGAATCGTGCATCTCCCACTGGCAGTGGGCCCCTTTGGTTCATTCAACTGTGGTTGAGAGCATACTTTCCACCACTTGGTGCTCCATCCGTTTTCCTTCGTTCTACTAGCTGCTATGGGCTAGCTATTGACCCTTGAAACCTGTAAATATGTCCAGTAGGGACATTTTTTCATTCTTTTATACCTTCAATTCGATTCCTTCTTTCTTTCCTTTTCCTACTCACTTGACTCCAGATTATGTGCAACCTCCATCCACTCCGGACAGTGCGAGCGCTTCTCTGCTTGTTTGGGTTTAGTTTTGTATTAAGAGGGAATTGTTCCATGATATTTTAACTAGAACCAATGCCAAGGCTGGGGGGAGGGAATTGTTCCACGATATTTTAACTAGAACCAATGCCAAGGCTGGGGTTGAAATATATGCTCCCCAATTTTTTGCTCGCCAACTTGGTTTTAGCCAAACTTGGCCTGTTCCTCCTTGCTACTCCAAAAATCTGACAGATCGTTTTCACACTATTAATAAGGCAGAAACACAAGCTGTAGATGCTCGTAACATTCTTTTGATGAGCAAATTTTCATTAGCCCCTTTCAATTCTAGCTGTACCGTCCATCCTTTTTTTGAACAGCTCTGACCATCAGTAAAACGCAGATTGTTTGCAACTGATGCTAATCGTGCCTTCCATTTACTGGATCAGCCAGACACTTTCTTTACTTCTCCTATTTTGGTCGTCCCTGTGTCCATTAGGAATCCTTCTTCCCTTGCTCGCGCTAAACATCCTATCCGTCCATCTGCTTTTCCACCTGCCAAAGCTACCGCAGCTAAAGGTGCCTTAAGCCGCAAACGGCTAGTTTCAGCATCTCCCATTTTACAGGATGATAATGATGATGATGATGATGACGCTTCTCTCATCCTTAGGAGAAAGGTAATTGAATTTGTTTATTCACAAACATAATTTTCTGTGTACTAATGGTTTACCTGAATTTTTCAGAAAAGTTCAGCCTCTCCTTCGAAGGCTTTGGTTTTGGCAACTCCTTCTTCATCATCTCCTGCTGAAGCTGCTTCGTCCAAATCAGTTGATGGAGAGACTATGCTTAAAGAGAGACCCTTAGTCCCGGACTCTTCATCAACCAGTAGAAGGGCCACCTTCTTCCAAAAGCGCCGAACCCCCAAATGTTGAACCAAAAAGTAATACATATTTTGATATTTTACCTTTGCTTGTGCTACTAATTTCTGATTCGTTACTTCTTGATGCAGAGGCTCCCATGGGCCTGCCCGTTGTGGCAGAGTCTTCTCACCCAGACAAGGGGAAGTCCCCACAGGTGGTAGAGTCAACTGGTGATATGCCTGAACTTCCCAAGATTGCTAATGAGGTAACATTTTGCCTCACTTTCATTTTCGCTTTGTTTAATGTAGTGAAAGCTCTCAATGTTGGCATTTTTCTTTGCAGGGTGCTGATGATATTGTGTGTTCCATCCAGGACTTGTTCACTTCCTGGGGACAAGTCAAGATGCCTCACCCTACTTCAACCAGTCATCCTTCTTTTCATCTTCTGCTTTTTCGGAGGAAAATATGAAGTCTCTCAAGCAGTCGGTACTTGAGTATGTGTCTTTTATGGATATGGATATCAGCTAGGCTAGTGCTACTAAACATAAGGATAAGTTTGAGCTATTGAGTGCAAAATTGGCGCAAAGACTTACACTTCCGTCGCTCAATGTTTCTGCTGACTTTAAAGTGACATTGAAGGTTGTCCACTCTGACATCCTCTCCTTGCTAGCTAAAAATGTTGAACTGAAGGCCAGGAGTACTCAATATCTTCGTGCTGCATCTGAAATAGAGTCTTTGCTTCTAGAGATTAACAAAGCTGAGGATGAATTGAAAGAAATCTCTTCCGAAGTTATGATCGATGACTCTTTGATGGGAAGCTTGGCTGTAGAGATGAAGGAGCTTCAAGCAAAGATGAACGACTATAGGACGAGAATGACTGCTAAAAAGTGTAATGTTTCCCAAGGAATTGAACGAACCAAGTCTTTGGTTGAGCAGTATAAAAAGCTGGAGCTTGATGACGATTTTGTAGCTGAATTAAATGTCGCTTCTTCTCAACAGAGTGAAGATTGGAGAAGACTTAGGAAAGAATACGTTCAGCTTAGGGTGAATTGTAATTAAGACATCCAATGCCTTAACTTTCTTTTTGTAATTTCGCACTAATTGCCAATGCTAATTTTGAATATAACAGCAGCTATCGTCATTAATGAATGATTATCTTGTCTACTTGTATATTAATTGACTTTGTCCTTAATAGTCAACCCCCAAGCATTTAATTGCTTTATGCTAAGATTCATGTACATTCTTTCTTGGTATTCCTGTCTCTTTCCTCAAGACTTTAGGCCATTTGATTTCAGTTATTAGGCATGAATGTAGCCGTTCATATTCTGTCTTT